GATCCTGTGTTCACATCCATTCTGTTAGTCTGTGTCTTTTTATTGGAGGATTGAGACCATCTACATTGAGAACTATTGATGAGCAGTGTTCTTTGATTCCTGCTGTTTTGTTGTGGTGGTGTGTCCCCCTATTTGATTTGCTGTTATTTATTCCCTGTGTTTTCTTGGTTGTTGTTAGCCTCTTTACGTTGACATTTATAATACTGCTTAAATTTAATTAATCATGGATTGTCTTTCTTTTTCCATCCTTGTGATTGGTAGTTTTCCTGGGTGTAGTATGCTGTGGTCCTTTAGAATGTGTAGAACATCTGTCTAGGCTCTTTTGGGCTTCACAATCTCCACTAAAAATTTAGGTCTTATTCTAATACAGCAGTGTTTCTCAACCTGTGGGTTGCAGCCTTTGGGGGTCACATATCAGAGATCCTGCATGTTAGATATTTACATTACTAGTCATAACAGTAGCAAAATTACAGTTAAGAAGCAGCAACGAAGTCATTTTATGGTTGGGAGCCACTACAACGTGAGGAAGTGTATTAAAGGATTGCAGCATTAGGAAGGTTGAGATCACTGGTTTATATGTTATTTATTCCGTTTTCTGCACAGCTGTGTAATGAGTCTTTTTCTGTCCTGCCAGTCAGCTCCCAAATAATGACATGAAGACTTCTTATTAATTATGAATGCTTGGCCAATAGCTTAGGCTTGTTCCTAACTAGCTCTTATCACTTAAAATAGCCCATTTATATTAATTTGTGTTTTATCTTCCCAGAGTCTTCTCTGTCTCTGGAAGTCCCACCTAACCTCTGCCTGCCTAGCTATTGGCTATTCAGCTCTTTATTAAGCAAATTGGCAAAGATACATCTTTACAGTATAAGCAAATATTCCACAACAGCTGGTAATAGTGTCATTTTGTGCTGGTGTCTATGCATCCGGGTGGTGTTTTAGGTGATTCTAGGTGCTGATGTCTGGTCTTGCCTTTGTCAAGTGGCTGTTCTGTTCCTTGGTTTCTGTTGTCTTCTGTGGGTCCTAGGAACGTGTGATGGCTGTGGACTGTCTTGTTGGGAGTGCTTCCTCAGGCTGGTGGGTGGCAGAGAGCAGCAGAGGTAGGCTAGGTGAAGAGACTGAGAGGGGCTTCAGGAGAGAGCTAAGGGATCCTGTTCATGCCTAGAGGTGGTGTTCCAGGGATTTGGAGGTGTGGGAAGAGGGGATTCTGCAAGTAGGTTGCAGTAAGGCAAAGAATTGTCTAGGGAGACAGGAGTCTCAGCGGAGCCCTGAGCCTGAACCAGGAGTTGGAGTCTCCAGTGAACGGAGTTGAGTTGTAAAGTCCTGGTAAGCAGGATTTTATAGGGCTGAGGGTGAGAATGGAGAGATCATGAATGATAACGGGAAGGATAGTGTGATTCACCTGCCTGAGTCCATAGTGTGTGTGGTCACTGGGGGTCCCAGTAGAGAGTTTTTCTAGGTATTAGGGGCTGACACAGAGGAATGGGGATGGGCTAGAAGTAGGGATTGAGAGGGTCCACAGTGTTAGGAAAGCTGGGTCTGCACCAAGGTTTGGGTGAGTCCTCAGGCACTGGAGTTAGGGAGTAAGGACAGGGACGAGACTGGAGAGGTTGTAATGGAGGACCAGAAGGAGAGAGGGGATTGCTTGCCTGAGTCCCAGCCAGGGATGGAATGTGATTCTTGGGGTTGTAAAGAGCAGAGTTCTGGAAACCCACATAGATTCATTGAAACACCCCACCAGCTATGGGCACACCAAGGTGTTTGGCAGGATGAGGAACTACTTCTTTCTGAAACAAGGAAACTCAGATATTTTGGGTATGTGTTTAGTTTGCAAAGTATGTGTGCATGAGTGCTTGCAAATGTGTGTGTATCAGGAAGGGGTAATTATCTAAAGTCTTTCTCTCTTCTTTGGCTGCCTCTTCTGTTCCAGCCCAGATGTTTGCACAGTGTCTGGGGTTAGTATCAGACTTCACACGTTCAAGGCTCAGTACCTTCCGAGGCTGCCCTGATTTCTGACATCAGCAGTACTTCAGAGAGCCCCAGAACACCCACGCTTCTGACCAGCTGGTTGTAAGTTTAGGAGCTTCCCTGGAATGGCTTAGAACTGAAATAAAGAATGGAGAAACTGCACATGGGCACACATCAGTGTCCCGCACATTTGTGACAGTACGAGACTGGAGGATCATGTCAGGAGTCCCGCTCTATCACTCTCCACCTGCTGCTTGGGTTAAGGTCTCTCACTGAACCTGGACCGGGACCCGGTGATCCTCCTGTCTGTGCGCCCCACCCCACCACCCAGGGCTCGGGGTCTAGGTGCACCGCCACACCTAACGTGTGAAAATGTGGGTGCTGGGGACTTAGCATCAGGTCCTTTGCTTGTGCAGCCAGCACACTCACATCCCGAGCCACCTCATCTGAGGTGCCTGAGATGGATGCTTAGAGACCATCAGGAGCGGTCATGGGAGATGAGCTTGTACACCAGTCGTGGTTGACAGGTTTTTGTTTTGTTTGGTGGTTTGTCATTCTTTTGAGATAGGGTCTCACTGTGCAGATCAAGCTGGTCTCAAGGTGGCAGTGGTCTGCAGTGCTGTGTGTGTGTGTGTGTGTGTGCGCATGCGCATGCATGTGTGTGTGTGTACGTGTGTGTGCAGGAGGCCATCACAGTGCATATACAGAGGTCTGAGGACAACTTAGCTCTCTTCTTCCACCATGTAGGTCCTGGGGATTGAACTCAGCTTGGTGGGAAGCGTCTTTACCCTAGGAGCTGTCTCAGCACTGGAGTGCTGGAACCACATATGCAAATCCCCCACACCCGCCTGGGACCAACTGTGCGACCTGACAGTGGTTGAGACTTTCATAGTCCCTGTCTTGTAGGAAGAGGGGAGACGAGTGAAAAGATGGACGCCTGTGGCTGGGCAGTTAGCTGCATCAGCAGGCAAGCACAGAGACCCGAATTCAACCACTCAAACGCACATAAAATATTATTTTAGAAACCCGAATATGATGGCGTGCACTTATGACCCCAGTTCTGGGAAGGAGGAGACAGGAGGAGACAGCCCTGGAATTCACTGGCCAGCCAGCACAGGCCTGTCAGCAAGTTCCAGGTTCAGTTGAGAGACAAGTTGGAAGGCACCTGAAGAATGACACATAAAGTTGACCTCTTATCTTTGTAAAGATGTGTGAGCGCACCCCCAACCCCCAACATCCCCCCCCCATGCACACACGTATGCGCATGGAATCCTATCATGTGGTCAGTGATTCCATGAACCATGCCTAAAGGATGAGATTCCAGGAAAAACTCTACAGGCTGGGGAGACCGCTCAGTTGGTAAAGTGCTGACTTCCGTTTGAGCCCTAGCACCCTTGGGAAAAGCTGAGCGTGGTGGTCTGTGCTTGTCATACCAGCACTGGAGAGGTGTGGCGCTGTCAGGTCTGCCCTGTGCAGAAAATGAAGGAAGTTTCTTACATCAGGAAAGTAGGGTGGTGTTTTTTTTTTTTTTTTTTTTTTTTTTTTTTTTTTTTGTGTGTGTGTGTGTGTGTGAGAATGTGGATGTATATGGGTGTGCTCATGTTGGTGTGTGTGTGTTCGGATGTGGGGAGGTCGGAGGACAACCTCAGATTCTTCTCCGAACCCTACCCACTTTCTTTGAGAGGGGGTCTCTTACTGGCTTGCTCACCTGCTAGCTTAGGCTGGTGGGTCAGTGAGCACCAGGAGTCCATCTTCTCCTCCGTGCTGATCTTACAAACAGGTAACAGCATGTCTGCTATTTTTTAAAACATCTTTCATTACATCTTTACATATTGATTTTGTGTGAGCTTCACGATCAGTTGGCAGTTTGCGGTTCTCTGTCCCCCTTTCACCGTGTGGGTCCCAAGGACTGAACTCAGGTTGGCAGACTTGGTGCTTGGCTGCAAGTCCCTACCCTTCGAGCCGTCTCTCCAGCCAATGCCTGGCGTTTTTATGTGGGTTATGAGGGTTCAACCCAGAGTCTCATACTTGTGAGGAAAACACTCCACTGACTGAGCCGTCTCCCAAACCCTGGGCAATGGTTTTGTGATTTTTTTTTTTAGGGGATGATTGGTTGTTCTAAGTATGTGGGAAGCATTTGACAATGTCTGGAAATATTTTTGGTTGTGGCAACGTGGAGATGGGATGCTGTTGGTATTGATTATAGCTTGGGAATCCTGCTCTGCATCCTGTACTGTCCATGGGTGTCTCATTACCACTGTGAAGATATACTGGGTTTCAGTTATTTGGAGTGCTATACCAGTGACTTTTCTGTTACTGTGATAAAACAGTCTGACCAAAAGCAACTTAGAGGAGGAAATGCTTATTCCAGCTTATACTGCCTGCTCACAGTCTATCCTCAAGAGAAGTCAGGCAGAAGTCTGAAACAAACACAACTGAGCAGTGGTTCTCAACCTTCCTGATGCTGTGACCCTTTAATACAGTTCTTCATGTTGTAGTGACCCCCAACCATAACATTGTTTCATTACTACTTTATAACTGTAATTCTGCTGCTGTTATGAATCGTAATATAAATATCTGATATGTAGGATATCTGATATACAACCCCCCAGAGGATTGTGACCCACAGGTTGGAAACAGCTGCCATAGAGCAATGATGCTGGCTGAGTTTCTGGCTCACATACAGCTACTTTTCTTATACAGCCCAGGCCCACCTGCCTAGGAAATGGTGCCACCCACAGTGGGCTGGGCCTTCTCACATCAATCAACAATCCAGATAACTGCCACAGTCATGGTCATGGGCCAATCTGATCTAGGCAGTCCTCAACTGAGACCCCTCAAGATGACTCTAGGCTGTATCTTGCTGACAGCTGAAGCTAACTAGGACAAGGGCTGAGCTCAGTACATCTACCTTAGAGTAATAGATTAAGTCCACCGCTGAGTCCCAGTGAAGCATGCTGTATTCCAAATGGTGGGGGAAGGGACCCTGTGCACCTGATTGACCTATTTCTCTTTCTCTGATCTGCTCTCAGCTTGATGTGCACCCCGTGTCTGGGACCCTGTCCTAAGGTCTGCCAAATCCTCGATGGTGAGAAGACCATTGACTCTGTGACATCTGCCCAGGAGCTCCGAGGCTGCACTGTGATCAATGGCAGCCTGATCATCAACATTCGAGGGGGCAGTGAGTACTCCCAGGAGGGCCTGTCACTTACTGTACTCTGAGCGTGGAAGTGCATAGCCCAGGGGATTCCTCACTTTCCCTTCTCAACTTTCATGACCGTATTCACTTGGGTCCTGTGGTCTCAGCTACTCAGGAGGCTGGGATCGGAGGATTGTTTGAGTCTAGGAAGTTCAGACCGGCCTGGGTGACTTAATCTTATCTAAAGAAAAGAAACAACATAACAAACCAACAAAGAATACATCTTTCAGTGGCCCTCTAAGTAGGAGACTCATACTCGGAGTTGCCTCAAAATCCAAAATGAAAAGTTACTGGCTCTGTGTTTGCTGAAAATTCTTATTTTCCAATCTGCATCAGGAATCTGTATTCTTTTTAATTTTTTGTTAATGAATGTTTTGTCCGCATGTATGTATAATCACTGTGTCTGTGTGGTGTCCACAAAAGCCGGAAGTGGGCACTGCAGTTTCAGATGGTAGTGAGCTGCTGTGTGGGTGCTGGGAACTGAACCCAGGTCCTCTGCAGGAGCAGCAAGTGCTCTTAACTACTACTGAGCCATCTCTAGCCCCGGGAATCTGTGTTCTTGCCGATACGCACTGAGTCTGCGGGCTCACACTTGTTATCCCAGCACTCAGGAGATGGAGGTGGGAGGAGTTCAGGTTCATCCTTGGCTACAGTGTGAATTTGAAGACATAAAGAACAAGCCTCCAAGCTGGAAAAGCTTTACTGTGGGTAGGTCTGCAGGTCAGTAGGTAGAGTGCTTGCCTAGCACCCACGGGTTCAGTCCTCAGTACTATGTCTCTAGGGCACACTGGGAAAGCAGAGACCATGAAAGTCAGAAGTTCAAGGGTGTCTTTGGTTAGATAGCAAATTTGAGGCCAACTCGGGCTACATGAGACTTTGTTTCAAAAATAAAAAGAAATAAATAAAATAAAGCAAGCTTGCTGTATTGTAGATTTGCTTCAAACTCACTATGTAGCCATGGGTAACTTTCATGCCTAATCTTCCTGTCGTCACATTCTGAGTGCTGGGATAAAAGAAGGGCAGGAACACACACACACACACACACACACACACACACACACACACACACACACCAGGAGCAGGAAGGCAGGAACACACACACCCCAGGAGGGCATGAACACACAGACAGACAGACAGACACACACACAGACACACACACACAGACCAGGAAGCAAGGAACACACACAGACACACACACTCCAGGAGAGCATGAACACACAGATAGACAGACACACAAACCAGGAAGGCAGGAACACACACACACACACACACACACACACACACACA